TCATTGGGAGGCAATTTGTTTGAAAATGGAATGGAGAATGGGAGAAAAGAAAATATCTATTACAATAATGTTGAATCATATATTAGTCAAGTGAAAAAGATGGCAAGTCACATACAAACTATTTAGTTTACAAGGCTAGGTTGTATGACCCATCATTATACAACTTCTGAGAAAGCCATAAGACCTATAAAAAAAAATCCTTCGGGCTACTTCTAATAGAAGCTATAAAACCCACTATATCCAAATTCTTTGGGCTACCTCTAATAGAGGTTGTAAGACCCACTATTATGGCTTCTTTGAAATGAGTCATAAGCCCCTACCAAAATTTAACAACTTGGGCAACTCTTAAACATAGTATTAAGACCAAACACAAATTAAACTAAATTACAATCCACACATCTCCACTTCAATTTACTTAGGATTCTTGAGAGGAGGCAGCTCATAGTTGCTAATCAGATTCCCTAAACACTACAATCAGTGGTTGTTAGTATTGGTAGACCGAACCCATGATATACTTGGGATGAAAGAACCATGGGATTTTGATTGGGTGTACCTTTATCCCCAATCACTAAGACTAAAATTCTATTGCAGATCTTCACACCCCTTGCACGAAGCAAAATATATTTCATCCTTAATTGAGGGTGGTCTTCTAATGCGTTAGGAGGCATAATTAACTATGAGAGCTTGCGGTCACAAGAAGTAGAACCCAGATCAAAATAAATTCTGACACTATTCTCTGAAGAAATTTGATTAAATGTTAAATTAAATCTACCTCTAGAAAAATTAAGGGAACCCCTCTAAGTTCGTAAGTGCAAGATTAGCACCTATTTATGATTTTCCAAAGCGAACAATTTTGAACTTAACAAAAGTTAATATTTTAATGGCATTTTATTATTGATAAAAAAACATTAAAATATCAACGTTAAACTATATCAACTATTAAAATAAATAAATAACGAAAAACCACATTATTAGAATAAGAAAAATATTATGTTGCTATAATTTTCTAGCTAAAGCTGCACATTTCCTTTGATGAAACTGTCACTGCGCAAAATCTTATTGAGATATAATATATAAATAAAGCCTAATAGCAATGATTTATAAAAGGGCAATTTTTTAAACTAAGTATCATTTAAATTATAATTAAGCGATTAACCAACGAAAAAAAAAAATTTAAACTCGCCAAAGTCGCCCGTTCAACGGGCGACTTACTTATTTAGGATAAGTCGCCCGTTAAACAAGCGACTTACGTCTTTTCTTTTAAACCCCGTGGAGGCCCCTTCCTGCCCTAAAAGCAAGTGTTTCGGCGTGAAGAGCTTCGGCGAGATTCGGCTTATCCGCGAGGTAAGGTTGATTTAACTTTTTTTTGGAAGTTTTTTGTGTTAAATTTCTTTCCTTTATGAGTTATTTTCATTTAAATGACTTATTGTGGAAGTTTAGGGTTACTTTAGTGATTAAATTTAGGATTTGTGTGTGCTATGTGGTATTTTTTTGTCAATGCTTGAGGAATAATTTGATTTGTGGAAAAAATATAATTTTTGCTATGATATATTTGAGTAAATATAGATTCACATTTTTTTGAGATTTATAATATGTTGAACATATATTATATGAAGATTTTATGAAAAAAAATAAAAGGATAAAAGGATATTTTGGATCTTTTTGAATAAAATTGAATAAAATTTATATTATATATATCTTAAAATTAATATAGGAATATTTGTGTTCACATTCTTTCGTTTCGTAGACAATGCAATTTTCTTTGTCAAATATGACTACTGTATTCATAGATTCGTGTTAAAGTCAGATTTTGATATCGAAGTACAACATAGATAATCATGCGCAAATAAAAATTTTTCCTATTAAAATAGAAATATAAATATATTTATTCATCCTTATGTGAATAAAAAAAGATATATATTTAAATATATTTAGTTAAATGCTTATGTGAGATTTTGATTATTTCAGTGTAGTAAGATCGTGTTGTGTAATTGTAGGTAATCTTAAACGATACTTAGTAGTGCAACAATGTCTGGATGGGGAGCATCCTTTGTTCTTATGTATAGTGGGCAGTTGTCTTTAGATGAAAAATATTCACCAACATATGTTGGGGGTAGTTACCGACCGTTGCAAGTGTCTGCAAATACGAACTTAGAGCAACTGAAGATTAGGATTCTAAAATTCCTAAAATATGGTACGTCGAAGTACTCAGTAAACTTAGTTTGTCGTCTACCCTTAGGGAATGAGTTCATAGCTTCGGCTGTGGACGATGATGAGGTGTGTCAGATGGTGTTATCGCATGCAGGTGGGCAAATACTTATACTTTATGTAGATGTCAAAGAAATTACTACACGTAATATAGCTGTTGATCAACTAACATCTCACATGCATGAGATATATACTTTCGATGGGGTGACAGAATGCAGTCCGACCAATCCAAGTTTCGTGCAACAATATGCTGAGTAAGTTTTTTATTTATGTATTTTTTAATGCATTTTAAAAAATATTTTCGGCTGAGAAAGTTTTCATTGTTCACAAAATTTCGATTATGTGATATAGTGAACAGCATAGAAGTTTTTGCCCTGACATTCCAAAAACTTCAGCGAGACCATCAGTTAGTGTTGATGATGATTATGAAACGATGAGTAGTGGATCAAGTGAAGAAACGAGATGCTAGAGGGTTCCGAAATTGATGCAACCAGACCCTTTGCACCAAGAGTACAAGCAACATTGCGAAAGATCGAGCAAGAAGCACGTAGGTTATCACAACCCATTCGAATAAATATGCGTGAGTTTCAAGTGGTTGACATGTCATCTCGATCTTTCAGGGTTGATTTAGTTGACAATAAAAATTGCATTTGTACTTGTGGGAAGACTATTATATATCATATCCCGTGCCCACACGTAGTTAGTTGCATATCAGAGCTACGGCAAAGTCACTACAATTATGTCTCACAATACTACAGCTTGGACAATTACAAGATGACTTATGCTGATCCATTTCATAATATTCCAGATCGATCTACTTGGGCACAACATGATCCATCAAGTGGCATACATCCACTCCTACCCCCAAATTTTAGAAGACGTTCTGGGAGACCAAGAACAAACCGTTTTAGAAACACAATGGATGAGGGAATTAGTCAAAGTAATAGAAAATGTGGTGCATGTGGTATAGTAGGAAATAACAAAGCAACTTGTCCTACTAGGTTAGTTTTAAGTTTCAAATTTTTCATATGAAGAATGCTTTTCATAAATGTGCTTTTCATTATTCGTAGAATGTTTTTTTCATTATCTGTAGAACCAAAATTAATTAGTTTTTTTATATCAAGAATGCTTTTCATAAGTTGTTTATTTTTCATATAAAAAATGCTATGTTTTGCTAATGTCATTAAAATTTTATATTATTTATACTTGCCTAACATTTTCTTTTCCTACCAGGTTTCATGGAAGCCGCAGAAGATAGGGGTCGCGGGTGCCGCAGGCGCCCTTCTAGTGTGGAGGCATCCACACATCCATCTGTACATACCATTCAACCTAGCATTTCTTCATTTGCAGGCAGCCACCGATCAGCCCATCATGAGCAGGTAAATTTATATACATTAGTTATTGCTTCATTGTTCAAATAAATAATCTCAAATATGGCAACAATTTTATTATTTATAGGACATTATATTGGAGGCTGCTTCACACTTATTGATGGTCCATTAATTGCCCTAGGTTCATGGAGGCTTTAGTTTTTGTGGGTTTAGACAGTGTCAGTCAGATGAGGTATATGAGGATGGATCATCACTTGCTTACAGCTCTGGTTGAGAGGTGGTCGCCACAAACGAATACATTTCACCTCCCAGTTGGTGAAATGAGTATTACGTTGCAGGATGTTTCCATGATATTGGGGAAACAGATTGATGGACCTTCTTTTGTTGGACACCCAGTTGTTGGTTCAGGCAGACGATGGTTGAGTTGGCCAGATTGTTGTGATGATTTACTAGGCCAGCATCTGGACCCAGATGTTTTGTATCATGACCCATTCAATCCACGGATTACAGTGAAGTTTAAGATGGGCCAGGCACATTCGCAGACATGTATTCCACTAAGGTGCCTGAGGTGGATTTTTCGGAGGGACTCCTACATTGATCTATCTGAGATGGATTTTTGGAGGCATGTGCGAGCTTACATTTTATTTTTACTTGGATGTCACCTGCTCCCAGACACTTCAGGCTCTGAAATTCATTTACAGTACTTGCCGTTGATGGAGGATATAGCGATATTCAGGACATACTCACTTGGAGGTGCAGTACTAGCTCATTTGTATAGGGAGCTATCTAAAGCAACTAGACCAAAACAAGCAAACATAGCAGGGTACATCCACTTATTACAGATATGGGCTTGGGAGCATCTACATGTTGGAAGACCTTAGCTTCATGTACCATTTCCTGTTCAGCTTGATGGTTTGAGTGTTGGAATAAGGTAATTTGTTATATTTATGTTATTTAATTTTAATTTTATTGCTAAAGTATTAATAAATATTAAATAGGTGGAATGAGGAACGACTTCGGGAGGTACCTATAGGAAATGTTATGGCATACGAGGATGAGCTGGATGGCTTACTGGAGAGTCAGGTATGTTAAGTATAATTATATTGATACATTTTAATCATATTTATTCGATATTATGAAGATTAAATTGTTATATAAAAATGATACAGGTAATATGGGAACCATACACTACAGAGATTCGTGCTCAGGTTCCAGAGATATGCACTTTAGGTCAGGACACTTGGCTCTCCAGAGTTCCTTTGATCAGTTGGAAAAGGGTTGAGTGGCATTTCCTTGATCGAGTACTACGACAATTTGGATACTGCCCTTCCACTTATATCATGCCAATGGATCCTAGTTTTGTAAGAGTTGATGGACATGGTAAGTCAGATACTGATTGGGCATTGTATCACCAGGAAAGTATTGCACTATGGGAGTGCAGGAGAGCATACATTTTTACTGGAGAGATTCATTGGTTCGACTATGATTATAATGTGAATCAGTACTTAGCATGGTTTCATTCTTGGGCTACACTATACATGCTAAAGCCCCTAATGGATCCTCCGAGTACATACTATCCAAGATCACCAGCTGAACGTCACATGGTAAGTTTAAGTTATTTAAATTTAATTATATGAAAAATTTTAACTGAATTGCTTATCCTGGCAGCGAGATTTCTTTGTGAGCATGGAGAGAAGATTGCAACCACACTTTGGCGGTATTGAGGGGACACCTTTACAGGTGGATGTGAATATTATTGGAGATATGTGCCAAAGATTACGACAACAAATATACATTGACGATGCTCATTTTTTTGATGAGGCAGATACTCAGGTGTTTAGTCCAGCCATTCCGACTGCAGATCCATATGATGCTGGGCCATCCTCCTATCCTGATCTTGGTCCCTCTCAGAGCCACTTCAAAGCTGAGTTTGACGTCGCCTCCACACCTCAGTTCGTACCTTCCTCCTTGGGAGAGCCCCCAGTTACTCAGCAAGATGTTAGTGATCAGGACCAGCGCCATCTACGTACCAGGCCACTATGAGCACCTCAGCATTTTACTCCAGGCACTGATGCGATTCCACATCGACAAAAAAGGAGGCATTAGTTTTTTGTATCTGTTAAGATAGTTGCTATTTGAATGCCTTACATTTTTGCATCTTATATAGTTTTGATGATTCCAAATATTATTGTTCAAATGTGTAGTTATCTCCTAACAATTTTAGAAGATTTGTATTTGCTCTTGTGTGTACTAACATTTCAGGAAAAACGAACTCCAGACTACTAAGACTTCAAATCAAATCCAGAATGAGATACTTTGTAAAATTTGAAGTTTGCATTTCTTTGAAATTAAATTGAAAGGGAGTGATTGTAATTGAGTGAATAAAAAATTTATACTGATCGTAC